CCCCCCCCCCACTCCCCCAAAATCAAGGATGTGAAAATGGCACGTTTTGGCTTTTGCGCGGCTTCACCCTTGATTTGGGGGATATGGGGGTTTGCTGTTCCATTTTATTCTGTCCAGGATTGTAGGTCGGACAGGTTGTATCAAGTTAAATTGGAGGCCGAGGCTTTTGCAAACGAAAGCACGTGGACCGCACGTGCTAATCAGGAAAACACCTTGCAGCAATCGGAAGTGGTCGTGTTCTATTTATATGACAACAGATCCAAGTGATTGACCACATCCTTCAGGATCAAATATTGGTAATACATGTACAGTCAACTGCATCTAACGGACTCCTTCGTTAAAAGGACATAAAACGAACACTTACAGTTGGTCCCTGCAGTCCTACAGACTCCTTTGACTCTCTCTGAAGGCGGACACTTCTCTGAGAAGGAGAAAAGCGTTATAGTAGCTCGCATTTCGAGTTTGTGGACAAAATCCTTTGGTGTGAACGTTCAAATGAAACCTCTTCAGCACTATCTTTTAGATAAATTATATTCCAATTATATATTATATTCTAACTTTGGAGTCAACTCAGGCATTAAGTAACGATCTTGACTTAAACACGACACCACAAGGGTACATACGGGTAACATACGAATACATGCGAGTAACATAGGAGTAACTAAGGAACACGTGAACACATGATTTATCATTTGTGAGGCAAACAAAGAGGACTAACAACTTCCGCTCGCTATGGATAACATCCCCGCATGACGATCAACCGTTCGTTATTATTGCCTTATTTTATTTACCAATCTTCGTCACGTTTTAAACTGACCTTCGTTCAAATAGAGTTGTCTGTAATCTTTAACAAGGGTTGAACCGGTTAATTGGTTACCAGTCTTCAAAGCAATAGGACCCAGTCCTGACCAACACTCAGTATCAATAAAAAAACTGAGTAGTCCTGTCGCCAGCATTTCATACTGATCTGACTTTGTGCACGCAAAAAGAACCACAAGGAAAGAAACAATCCTCGGTATCGACCATAGCAGCCCTTAACTTAAAGCCATCTCTACCATCTCCGTCTTACCACGACAATGTGGTATAAGTGTTTCCAATCTGCCCTGCCTCAAATCACTTTTGGGTTGCAGCCTACCTTTGCTCTCAAGACACTTTAAAGAGGCTATTGTCACTCTATGCTGGATAGCTTTTAGGGACGCCACGAAAAGCTATCCAGTACAGCATGAACAGTGACGGCAAAGGGTGGCAAAAGTTGTTCACAGGAATCGAACATCGTGCTGGCGCGGTTGGCCGAGAGGGCTTGGCGAGCTCAATTCCAGTCCTCACTCCTGGCTATTTACTTCTGTCTCAGTCGGTTCCAGTCTTCGCTCCTACTTATTTACTTCCGTGACGGGCCGAATAGGTGTTCACACTTCACCAAAGTGTGGTACAAGACCTCTGTGATATGTGACGCCCCACTTTCGAGATCAGCGCCGCGCAGCTTCTCTCCGTCACAGAAATAGCGCCGCCCTAACAGTTCTTATGTGTGAACAGAATACTATCCGGTATGATTTTCGCGGTAGCGCCAAAGTTATCCGGCATGGTATGATCATAGCCTAAGATGACACATTAAATTCTGCAATGCTGATCGTACTACGTAAAAATCGACTTTGCCTAAGTTGTTGCGACAAATCTACAAAAATCTCCTCAAAAACTCGCTTTCCTGTTAAATATAATTTAATTTAAAAATTTGATAATAAAGGAAATATTCAAAGCAAATTAGCCGACCTATCAATCAATATCTCAACCCAAACAACTAACGTTCATAAACTACTCTCACATTTCTCCTTTAGCTCAACATCAAACTGTCCTCGTATCTATCTTAATCCGCAATAAAAAAAATTTTGTTCTCCTCATTGCTTTAGGCGCTAAACTGAAGTAATCGTGGCAGTTCGACGAGACATATGGCGTGTACATTTATATAACAGTTTGAAGATCAATTCATTCACTACTAGCGCTCTTCAACAAAAATGGTCTCTTGCGGATAAAGTCCAATAGTCTGTAGCGATTGTGTTGCATCCAACGCCGTAAGCTGAAAAAATTAAAACGAAATGTAATTATTTTTGCGATAACAAGAGACAAGTTATAAGCAAATCCAAAATTCTGCACTCAAGAAACTATAAGGGGAATGGGTACAAGCTTTCGGGGCAAGGAATTTTGGGATCGTTTGGGTGGACAAGCCTTACTTACGATTGGTTAGTGGTTGCCTTGAATACCATCAACCAATCATAACAAAAGCTTCTCCACCCGAATGATCCCAGAAAGCACTGCGCCCAAAGCTTGTACCCATTCTCCCTAGAGGAGGGGAATTGCGCCTTCCAGCTGAGGTACCACCCACCACGCAACCAAGCCTCTGACGTTCAAAAACTTAGACGGTCAAGGTGTTCACACCACGCCTGGCACATTTTCGACCATACCAGCTAAAAGTTTAATATCGTTTTTGGCCCTTAAATTTGTAAACGGCTGGGCGTCTAAATTTTTTTACACTTAGTGTGCCTCCGTGTAAACTCAACATCCAAAAACACGAAGTTTGAACCCGTCGAAAATTCGTCTGTGTACCATGTGAACACAGCCACAGTCATGCGCGTTTTCAAGGTATTTTTCCTTGACGGTCAAATACCAAAAAATATTTTGAAATCTTGTATTTAACTAGATATATCTGACTGATAGTACACAAAGGTTCGAGTACAATGGTTTACAACAGTGCAGCAAAAGAAGCAATAATCAGGTTTCTAGCTACTGTGGCAAAAAGTCTCTAAGTCATACTCACGTCTCTCCGAGGGAAGTTCGTAACTACTTTATATTCACTGTCTAAGAATCCTCGCGTCTGAACAAATGTTAAAACAACCTGCGAGAAAAGAAAGTGTATGTCCGTCTTTAAAATGCAGTACAATGTGGCTCCAAGATTTTCTGTGGATAAATTCACAGCAATACCTTCCTCTGGAGAAGTTTCATTATTTATTTCAGCCGTACAAGGTGATTATTAGATGAGATCCTGAGATGTATTTGTCTTAACTATACTGTGTAAATGTTGCTCAGTTGGCTTCCTAGGCAGTGAAAACAAATCTTACCTGAAGTGGGTTACTAGCAAGGAATCTTCTTGTTACGGTTTCTCCATCAGGAAGTCGAAACCGAAGATTGGAAACTGGATCGGTACATTCGGACCCAGGCTCTGCAGGAAGGTGATCCATAAGGGATAATCGTTGTGCCTGCAAACAAACAAAACAAACAAATAAATAAATAAGTACATGAGCAACCTTCAAAGTCACCATAGTCTCCAATACTGAATCTGATTCTAAATCAGATGCAGTGAACTTACCTCTTTAAGCTGGGCTTCATGTAAAGCTTGTTCTTCGTGTAGTTTCTTTGAGAGTAGTTCTTCTTTTTCTTGTCTTTTTTTCTCTTCCTCCTGTACAATACATAAAGTTTTGAACCCTTTAATCCCCAATATCCATATACAAATTCTCAATACTGATCTTTGAAAAACTAGTTGAGAGAATTTGTTAGACAAAGCATTTTTACTTAGGTGATCATTTTATTAATTCTTATCACCTGCTCACTTGATTACGTATTCATATTGTTAGAAGAAAATTGATGCTGGTCACTCTTGAGGTTTTGAAGGATGAGATAAAGGAACGCTGCGCACACCTGACATGGGAAAACTGCTCAAAATCAAAATATTTGCGGCCTACTAAGAGTATGAACTATGTAAACCTGCATTCGTGAATGTTATGTGTTACCATTTTAGGTAGAGGTTCTGAGCAGCCTCCTTACATTGGTTGTCTTTTTATTATTGATCGGAAATTGTCAGAACAAAGTTGAAACCTAACCTTGGCCCTGTCTTGACGAAGGGAGGCCTGGTATGCCTCATCTTGTTCTCTCTTCACCATTTCTCTAGCCTCTCTTTCTTCCTGTAACAATAACACGTGATCTTAAGACTCTTGCTGAAAGTTTTACAAAGCGGTTTTTATTTTGAAATATAGTCGCACCTCAATGTACGACTACCTCCCATAAGCGACCACCTATCCAAAACACCACAATCACTACAGCTGTATCACTACAGTTCGACCCTACTCTTCGTACAGTTTTATTTCCTGTTCCCTTGTTATGTTCCCAATAACCATCCTTGTGCGGCTCAATATAGGGAAGAAAACTGACAGAAAAATGTATCCTTGCGCGACAATGTTTCCGAACCGTTCAATGATTCTTGCGAGGCAGGTAAGGACCTAATGCTCAGTTTTTAGGAGCAAATTTAAGAGCCTGTTTACCTCTTCTCTGATTTCGATGTCCATGGCTTGTTGAAATGTCTCATGCGCGCTCATGAGACCTGTCATGAGCTCATCAAGAGTAACTGAACCTGGTACACAATAGAAAAGGTAACATGGGTTACACGATACAACTTCAAAACCTCATCTCTCAACATTGACTCTACAACTGACACCGCTGTTCAAAAACGGGCAGCACTTGTATTAAGCGCAATTTCTAAGAAATATTATATTCGGCAAAATGAAATTAAAGCGACGACTGTTTTGTGCCACCCATTGAAGGGGAAACCATGCCATTTGTACGGTCTCATCCGAGTCGCATGAAGTTGTTTGTAGAGCAAAGGAGGTGACTTGAATCATAGTATTTTACTAGAGATCTTTAAATTACGACAAGCAAGACTACGAGAACGAAATTTCCTCAAAACTAACTAGTGTGCGCACGTAAACCAGCCTCATTTTGGCGGGAAAACACGATAGCTGTCGCCACTCTAATACAAGTTTCAGCGCAAATGTCGAAGTGTCGGAAACAAGTTATCAAATGTTAAGGGTTTTATCATTTTGCGATCGGGATAAAAATAACCGTACTAAAGTTTCTGGTGAAAAATAGTAAAATATAGCTTTACTCTCTCGGTCATCTCAAAGAGCTCTTATATATACTCTGAGTGAGGACTGGTACAACCGGGGATCGAACCCTTGAACACCATGTCACAAGACCGATACTCTACCGGTCAAGCTGACCCTGCGGTAGTTAAAAAAGACTGTACTTAAATGTAAACATTTCTTACCTTGAAGGACTGAACATATTTCCATGGCCGATCTATTCCTCATACCAACTATTAAAAGCGGAAACTGCTCGGCCACAAACCCGCGCACAGTACTCGCTGCTACACTGCCAAAGTGTTGCGTAACCATGTCTAGGAACCTGGAGCAGAACGAAACAATAGGAAAGGGTGAATGGATAAGGGAAATGTGAAGGCTTCATAATTCAAAAAAAGCAAGGTTATATGGATGATAAACTCCAATTTCCATATGATCTGGGACAAGATCGTCGACCGGTTTGCGTTACGACACGGACATCTGCTTAGCGCCATGTTCGCACTAAAATCGAGTCAAACAAACAAGGCATGTTTGCGATCACTGAAATAAATAGAAAGATTTGTCTGTAGGGTCTAGGATGTTATGAAAACGTCTGACGTCGACAACTTCCGATTACGTCGCAGAAAACTGGAGGTTTTTACAGGTAAGTCATGTAGACACCAAGCTTTAATGCGAGGAAAATAGAGATCAATGTCGATGGAACAGCTATTGTATTATATTCATTTAGAGTGACTGGATGCGCACGGGACCAAGATGAAGCAAAGTTTTCGCTGTAGTGCATGGTTGCCCGAGGGATGAAGATGGAGCTGTCTTTCCAGCTCGGGATCTCCCGCTATGTGCCGAAAAAATAAATGAAACAGTTTATACACACACCTTGCTCTGTTAGAGTTGTGAGTCATGTCCCACGCCCACACAACAAAGTTACCGCTGATGTAGTTTACTATCGTTTCCGAACAAATCAGTTGACTACAAAAAGAAAATAAAAATATAACATACTTAAAAAAGGGAAGGCAGGCTGCACAGTTTTAAATGAAAACTAATAAGAGTGTCCAGTCAGAACTAGGCTCCGTATTGATCAGCAGTTTCTTGAGGTGTATTTGGGCGGATCCAGGAATTTCCTGTGCGTGGAAGTGGGGTGGCGGAGAGGAAGAGGGGGCACTGGCTATTGAAACTGTTTCACCGTTACCCGTTCCTACTCTAACTTTCCTACATCCCATTCCTAGAGAGCGAAGCAAAGGGAGAACAAGTATCTAATCGGAACAGACTGAAAAGGAAGTTTTCGGCTTTATATAGAAGGCAGGGATGACGGAACAAAACAGACCATTGCATCACGCAGCATCATCATCAATGTGGTTGCCATAAGAGGTGCAAGTTCGCAGTCTTAAAAAATAGGCCAGTTGCACTAACAGGTCACGTGACCAATGCTTCATTTAAACGATGAGTTGGAATCTTGCTGATGCCGAAAATTGACAGAGCATATAAAAATTATCTTACACCCGAAATTTGAGAGGAAACGCATTTAAGGGAGATATTTTATGGCACTTTGATTTTTCAGCAAAGCAGTATGATTTGTATTGGCCGCCATGTTGGAGGGCATACTCTTGCCCTCCAACATGGCGGCCAAAACTACTTTTTGCTCATATCTTGTTAAACGTTTGATAGTTACGCTCAGATGTGCTGTAAACGTTACCACCTCATCTTTTCAACATTTCCCTTGAACTTTAAGTGCAAAATTTGTGTTCAGAAAGGTGTAATTCCTAATTTTAAAAATCATATTTTGGTCACGTGACCAGCTACGAAGTTACTCATTTTAATAAAATGGTGCGGGTTTGACAAACCAAATCACTATTATTTTGTTTAAGATATGACCCACTAATCGTTTTTCGAAGGTAAAATCATATAACTTTCATTTTCATAAAAACGATGTCACATGACCTCTTAGTGCAAATGGCCTATTCACTACACAACGTCATTTGATACTTACCTACAAAATACATTTGTTAAGATGCTACCATCATGATGAAGGTATATGAGCAAAGGTCTTCTCTGAAGTAAGATTCATAACAAAGCCGCAAATTTATTAGTAAAGATATACAATCATACGTAGATATTAAATGCAAAGAATAACACCTATGGTCGGGTGCATAAAACCCGCCTTTTTCTGGTGTTAAAATAATGAGTTTGACTAGGGCTGAACAACAGATATCAGCTGAATCACGACCCTGGTAATGAGCGCGCGCACGTGAATCAGCGTCATTTTGGCGGGAAAACGTGGTAGCCGTCATCATTCTACTACGAGTTCTAGCAAGAATAACGTAGTGTTAGAACTTTTATCATTTTGTGATCGGGAGAGGGCTTACCCCATTCAATAAAAATGACAATGCTAAGTTTTCTGGTGAAAAAAAGTACAAAGAAGCTTTCTGGGGCTTCTACTTTTTGAGAATACTTTAAGTTCGATAATTACATTGTAACATCATCGTCGTCGTCCATGTCCTCCAATATAAACGTCTCTAATGTTCTACACACTCATCATCTCCAAATTCAATCACGCAAAACTACCTTGTAAACAGATGACTACTGACCATTGAGAATTCTCTTGACTGTTTTATCGTTATTTACCTCTTTAGCTGAAGCTCCTCCAGCCTCCTTGATGGCTTCTGTCAGTGGACCCATGTAAAAATACGGGTGGGTTTCACCATATCTGATAATCAATCAGAATTTGAATGTGCATGTGAGTTGCCAGCTGCTCGAGGTGTACTGGCATTTTAAAAAAAGGTCTAGAATCTAGAGTCAGGGTTAAAATTTGAGAACTTGTTGGAAAGAAGCTGAAAATTCAAGATCAGCGAGCAAGATCTTCAATTTTCAAGATTTTCATATAAACTCACTCCTGTTATTCACGAAGGTAACAGGTACCTTTGAGTCAAGCTTCATAAAAAATCAAAAATATATATACACAGTATAAATTATTGTGAATCTGCATTTTACATAAAAAAATTTGGGAATATTCAAGTGCAATCTAAAAGGTCCAGATGTCTGAAAGCTTACTTTTTAAGAGCGAGATGATTTATTTACAACTGTACGACTTACCTTTCTTCAAACTGAGTGGTAAACTTGACTAATGCTTCTGCAGTATCTGTACAATTATCTTCCACTTTAAAGAGAAGATACAGTCTACAGTTAGAATGGCAACACAGAGTGTACAGTGTACATTCACAACACAGAGCCATCCAAGGAGACAACTATAACGTCCCTATTACAGTCAACTCTCTCTATGATAAATCCTTTTTGAACTGGTGTCCATCTCAGAGACATGTCTTTCTTATACAAAGTCACATGAATGGAGCAAAGAAATATGATGGCGATTCTTAGGTGTCCATTTTAGGGAGGTGTCCCTAAGCTGACAGTACTGTGCAGTCAGCCCTCTTTTAACAGACACCCCTGAAAGAAAGACACCTTCCCAAAATGAACACCTAGATTTGTTCCCTGCCTTTCTTTACTCCTCTCATGTAACTCTACATGTACACAAGATGAGTATCTCTCTTAGATGGCACTGAGGGTTGGTTCCAATGGTGTTCATCTATCCATGTAAGTTATGTGTACCTACATAACCGTAGTGATCAGCTGCATTATGGAGAATAACTACAAGAGCGAATCAAACTAGCCCTCCTGGGCTATTACTGTGAAAACACAGCTTCGTTTTCGTAGCATCAATTGCACAAAGCACTCAACTCTTTCTAAGATGGACACCTTTGGGACCAGTGCTACGTGCCTGCCTTAGAGGGATGTTCATCTTATAGAGAGTCAACTAAAAGGTGTAACAAAAGGCAGGTACAATCCCTGGGTGTCTGTTTTAGGAAGGTGGCTGTCTTTTAGAGGTGTCTGCTAAGAGAGAATTGACTGTCCCTTACACTTGACTTATCATTAGTTTGCTGTCTACCTACACATATTGCTTATTTGTCTTCTTGCAGCTGGAACATCACAAAACATTTCTTCATCATCCATGTGAAAAGATGGATCTTCATTATCGCTACTATCATCATTTGTATCCATGTCTACGTCTGCATGTCTTGTTTTTGAGGTAGTCTAAAGTTAAGAAGTAGGAAATGAAATGACATCAATATGAATTGTCACAGTGGCTTATTTTAGGGAAATCACACAAAATACTGCCATGCAGTAGATTAGCAATACATTCAGGAGAAAATATATTGTAATTCTCTATAATCTTAGTTGCCTGTTCTTAAAGAAGAATTTAATGTCATTCTCCTGAATTGCATTGCACATCTCTACTGCGCATAATATTGCAACACTAGTTACACAATCTAACATGTACCTTTTTACATTCCTGTGATGTATCTTCACCACTTCTTTTCATTGTTAAACTGTGGACTGGAAAAGACAGCTTTGCATCTGCAAGGGACATCTGAAAAGGATACAATGTACAAATCA